CTGCATTTTTTAACTATACAATATCCTCTCTTGCATTAGAGCTCAGTGTTTTTTGGCAATATATGTGCAATGCTGGATATTAAAGAAATGTTCTTTGTATACCGTAGAGATGCAGAAATATTTGATAAGTCCCCGGAATACTTGACAGAAAGAAAATGCAATAAACCATTGCTTCCAGCTTCTTACATACTAAATATGTCTTTACTTAGACTCCATGGAAATGAATCTCTTCTTAGCACCACTGTACTCCGGCAGAAAAGACAACTTACTAAATGCGTTTGTTTTTATAGGGCATGGTTTGTAATGATTTAAGGGAGCGCTTCTGCAGCTATTACACAGCAAAAACACAGGCAATCTTTTTATTTTTCATGACTGACAGTATTTTAGTGTCCTCCTAGGTACAAATATAGCCAGAAACTGTATTCAGGTAATATTTCCATCGAAGTTAAGCCTCTCCAGAATTGGTGAATGCTTTTTCGGTATGAACAGAGGGATTCTGACGGGAGTACAGAACAGTAAATTAAAGCCATCATGTTTCACAGATCAGTTAGTGATCAGGTTTTTTTTAAATATGTCGTCCTTGTGTGCTAAAAAAACAAAGGTAATTGCAGGATATTTTATTGACATTTAAAAGTCATGATGATGGGCTGGGTGTATGCAGGCAGGGGTGAAGGCCAGAAACTAAACAAGTGCAAACACACAATTAAAAATGATACAGTACAATCAGAAGCAGTATGATGATATACGGTACAATGCGATGCAGTACAGATACAGTACAGTACGCTACCATACATGTACGATGAGAGACGATACATTACGATATGGTGCGATACAACATGACACGATACGTTATGTTTCAACACCCGACAATGCGATGACATACAGTATGATACAATACGGCATGGGAATTTAATTTACAATGTGATACGATACAATACAGGAAACAATCATGATTAATAATACAGCATGTGTATGTCTCACATGTACTGTCTGTATGTCTCTATAAATCCTCCTCAGTGTGTTTCTGTGCAGACTCTCGTCTCCACCTGCCTTTTAACATTCCTCTGAACAAACCCATACATACGACTTAATGTTTATCACCAGCTCTATTTTTCTTTCGTCTTTTTCTATGGTGATTTGTGTGATTATAGAGATGTGTGTGTGATCTCAAAAGGTATAATCTATGCTTGAAAGGAAGAGAAAGGGTCATAGTTAGAGCCGGTGATCATTTTCTAAATATGTATGTACCCTCCTGATCGGTACCAGTGAGCACTAACAGAGTAAAGCCTGTGGTTAGAGTGATTTATATCTGTAAATCACCTGTTGTGAGCAAGCGTTTATCAAGGATCCTGCTAGGATTTGATTGAATATGACAAAAGTTCACCATGAGCTACTGAGCAGATGTTCATGATAAATAAATATGAGAAATACTGTAATTTCACGTCAAGATGTCAATGCAGATGCTATTCTGCTGCTACTGAATATAAATTAAGCAGCAGGTTCACCATTTAAATCCTGTCTGAAACATCTCAATGAATATTGTGTGGATTGGCTTTAAATGTAGAAACAGTAATGGTTCCCAAACATTGAATACTGATCATTTTAGTGATGATCAAGAATAACTCAATAAACTAAGGTAATATTGAGAGGGACCTACCAGACATAAGCACTCTATATAAGAACATCGTCCAATGCACAGTTATTACTCAGCTTATTGTCTAGCAGGAAGTCAGATATTGAGATACCCCTACCCGAGGTAGAACAAAACACAACAATGAGTTTTCTTATCTTTAGGGTCTCCCATTATCGAAATTGATTGTTGTCACATTTTGTTTTGGGGGGAAAACTTCTTTTTTTTGGTGGTCCTTTAGAACTACCCCAATCCCTGAAAAAGAGCCAAATTAGACCAAGCCGAATGTGGGAAAGGTGACAAAAAAGCCCATAACTTGAGAATGATCACTCTTTTCCTCTTCAGATTTGCTGAGGTATGAACCAGGTGGCTGTCCTACATCACCAAATAGTCACACAATTATTTAACTAAAAAAAGACTGAATTACAGTTCTGTAAACTTAGCTTTAGTTTAGACGGAAATTGTACTTTTTGATGATAGGAACATAGGACTCCATCACTTTTCTCTCATTTATCAGAAAACAGAAATCCCTAAAAAATATACCATTACTGGATTGTCTAGGGTGCTATTGAACACTAACCAGTAGTTGTATGGAAATATCTGGTACAGTTCAATTGCAAATGAGATTTATTTTGACAAAGGCCTACATCTTCTCTGATATAGTCAAATCCCAGCTTCAGGACCATCTCCAACTAAACGGCGTCTTTGAGAAATTCCAGTCCAGTTTCCGTTCCGCCCACAGCACTGAAACAACCTTGGTCAGGGTCACAAGCAACCTGCTGATGGCGGCTGACACTGGTTCCCCATCTCTCCTCATCCTCCTGGATCTGACTGCAGCATTGGACACTGTCGACCATAACATCCTCCTTCAGCGCCTCTACACCATCGGACTCTCTGACTCCGCCCTGAGCTGGTTCCAGTCCTACCTGTCTGGAAGAACAGAGTACGTCTCCTTGGGAGGTGCGAGGTCCCAGACACACCCTGTCACCTGTGGTATCCCTCAAGGGTCGGTCCTCGGGCCCACTCTGTTCACCCTGTACACTCTGCCCCTTGGCCGAGTCATCAGCAAGCATGGAATATCATTCCATTGCTACGCTGATGACACGTAGCTATATATAAAGACGGACCCTATCCCACATGCATCCGTCACCATCATCATCACCGTTCCCATCAACATCCTTTAACACCTGCATTGAGGAGATAAAGGCTTGGATGCAATAAAACTTCCTGCAGCTAAATAGCTCCAAAACAGAGGCTATTTTAGTTGGCACACCAAACCAGGTCCAGCCATCCCCCATAACCCACATCACCTTTTCTGGCCAAAACATACCCCTCTCCACATCAGTTACCAACCTGGGTGTAAGATTTGACCGACATCTGACCTTTGACTAACCCTCACCCTGGCATTGTTTAAAGACTGGTTAATGGAAAATAAAATGTGAACAGACTTGGACAGTTACAGAAAACCTCGATCAGTGCTGCCGTCATTTTAAGTTATGATGCTGTTGCTGCAGTTAGAGCCATTGGAACGGGCAATTTTTTCTTAGTTGAAGCAATACGACCATTTTTAATCAATATTGTAAGTCAAGGTGTTTGTTCTAGAACTTCCCAACGCGAAGGGATCGTGAATCACCCTCACACCCTCCCTAATTCTGTTGTTTACGGTCTTTCTTTACTTAGTTTTCCCATTTGTCCTGTACATTTGACAGATCATTAGAATACATCCCGTCACATCAACACCACATGCTGCCCTGACATAAAAGAATACCATAAACAACTTTCCTATTAATCTTCAAATGTGACGACAATATATCTTGCGTCGGTTCACTTCAGGACACCAAAAGCTATTGTTCAAAATCTTGAAATGCCACCAGTAATGAACCTACCATCTGAAAACAAGAGTCTTTGTTCGTGGATGTGAATCATTTAAAGATGTTTCTTACGTGAGTCAAAGGCTGTTGGGTAATGCCGTGGGTTTTGTTGGGCTGCGTGCTGATTTAGAAATTCCTTTATGTAGAACACTGGCGTCTGCACTGACTTTTTGTTTTTTCTGCATCAGCATCTTTGAAGGAAGATCGACAACAAATGGAGAAAGTTTTAATTACTGAACACAGATGTTGTATCTTGACGTGTGTGTTCTTAGGAAAAATGGCAAATATGCAAGTTTTTTCATTTAATTTAATCGTTTATTTGAAGAGGGACAATGCATATTGATGAACATTTAAAACAAATAATGCTTTAAAACGTAAACATGCCGGATTTTAGCTTTGAGCTCATTTCCATCCGTAGTCCCTGACATACAACATTTAAGAACCTGACATTTATAAACAAAGCAAAAATGAATACATGATATGCAGAAAGAGCAAGAGCAGCACACACAACTATTTACCACATGGCAGTACACTTTAGCATTTACGACATATAAAGTGCAAGAGGAGATACAAGAGCTACATAAAGTGCAAGAGGAGATACCCCTGTGTTAAAGTGCATTTAGCTTTGATCGCACGGATGTTTGTTTCTCAACCATTCTTTGAGTTGACCTTTAAAGCTATTGAGAGTGGGACAATCCCGTGTCTCAGTTGGGATGCTATTCCACAAAGAGCTGCCTTTAATGGAGAGGACATTTTGTCCAAATGTGGTCCGTCTACGGTGGACCTCACAGTGTCACAAAGTTTAATTTACTGAACACAGATGTTGTATCTTGACATGTGTGTTCTTAGGAAAAATGGCAAATATGCACGTTTTTTTAAAAGGAAACTTAGGTTTCATGGGACTTTGGTCCAATTTAAATAAATATGGCTTTCAGTTCTTGTTCTAGTTACACATTTATCGTCACAAACTTAATTATTCTGGATGCATTGATTGTTTTTTGTAAATTTAAATTGTAAAGACAACAGAACAATGTGACCTTAGAAAATAAGAAACCAAGATATTTGGGATCAAACGTGTGTTTTCTTCAATTATAAATGTGATTTGAGTTTAATACGTGAATTAAATTCACAGTATTTTTGAATGGAAAATCAAATGGATTGAAAGTAGCCTAAATATAAACTAAAAGAAAAATCAGGCAATATGTCCACCTATAATGTATCGATCCTTAATTAAAATGTATTGTTATCCTGATAGTTATCCTAAAATATAAAAAATAGTAATCTGATTATATTTTATAGTAATAGTGACTGTAAGGGAATACAGTGATTGTGTCCCATGTTAGCCGTTACTCCCCAAGCCGGTTTATAACACAAGGAACTGACCACACAGCGCAATACACATTTAAATGTCCCAATTTGGGATCAATAAAGTACAATTTATCTTATCTTTATTTCACTTATATGGCGTCCATTTTTCTCTCTCTCTCTCTCTGTGACAGGTAACCACATGCTGTTACGAGTGTTACCCTCAGTCTACCCCCGGCAACCAGACACCATCCACGGTCACCTAGGCAACCTGACTGCAATGATGTCACAGCTGGAGTCCCCGGAGCAGCAACACTTGATCAGGCTCATTCAAATTGTCGCAGAGCAACATCCACTCGTGAGTGTTTGCATAGTTTGTTTGTGTAGATTTACAATAGGGAATGGGTATGTGATGTCATCAGCAGCAAGTCGGCCATCTTTGGAGGATACCAGCTGAAGCAAATTATTCACTTAACCTGTAAAGCTACCATAACTTTTAACTTTTTAAACATGGTCGGTAGGCACTGTTGTGTTGTTGACTGTTGCAGCCACTCCCAAGACTAATTAACAAAACAAAAAAAAGGACCATGGGATTACATGTTATTATTTTCCAAAATGGAAATGAGAGAGAAGTAGCAAACATTAGGCGCATTCACACCGCAGTACTTTTCCCACAAAGGTTCATGAGAACTTAGTTCATGATAACTCTTTAGTTCTCATGAACTAAGTTCAGATCGCGTTCACACCGGAATAAGTCCCTGGGGGAGGATTAGGCAAATGAAGCCGCTGACGTCACTTCTTCTTCTTCTGCTTTGGGTTTACTGGCAGGCCGCAAACCACTTCACGGCGTATACTGCCGCCCAAAGTCCCCGGCCGGAAGTCCCCGGAGTTGGGGAAGGCTTCTACTGAAGCCTTCCGAGTAAATCGCCAGAACGCCGACACCTCCTCATCTCCACCGCTCCCATGTTTTATTTTGTGTTGCCATAAGTTAGTCTCTCTGCATTTCTGCGCTGGGCTAATGCGAGAATAATAAAATGGCGGCTTCACAACACTTTTTGGCAGTTTTACGGGGCGTGGTTTGCAATCCGCCCAGCCAATCAGACATAGGAATCTTTTTCTCCCACGAAAGTCCCTGCTCTCTAGCAGGGACGGAAAAGGGGGTAAAAAGGTTCTCATGAACTAATTTTAGTTCCGGCTCTTTTTGGTGTGAACGCAACATTTCGGAACTATATCGGAACCAAAGTGGGAAAAGTACTGCGGTGTGAACGCGCCTATTACCTATTGAGTTGTGTTGAGAGTTGCTGAACTACAGTAACCCAAACCACTACACTGGGAATATGATTTAAAACATGAATCGCAGTATTCATAAATATACTTGTAGATTAAAATGCATGATAAACCAATGTTAAGGTCAATTATCTAAAGAGGCTTTCTCCAAAGATGGCAGACACACCCCTGAAGTTCCCTTTTCCTTTTACTAAATGTAAAGGGGACCTATCATACAAAATGCACTTTTTGTATGTCTTAAATACACATAAATATGTGTCCCGGTGTGTCGGGGAACTCACGCAGCGTCAGAAAATAAAACCCTCTCTCTTTTCCTCCGTACCCAAATCTCTAAAAACGGGGCTACAACGGAGCTGATCCAGATTTGCGTCCGATACGACGTAATATCGGAAATGTGGACCCACGGCCCTATCAGAAACGTTGCTATCAGAAACAATGCCCGACTGTTTTGGACGTAATATGGTCGGTGTTAGCATCGCTAACACTCAGAGCTAACCTGTACTGGAGAGCATGTGTGTGAAGAAGCAGGAAATAAAAAGGAACTCACCTTGTGGTATAACCGGCAAGAGAGAAAGCCTTTGAGCTCCATACTGTTTCAGAGATAATCCTTGATAATCCATGATATGGCGTTTCATCACGGCAGTATTTAGTTTAGACAGTAGCTGCCGGGTCCCGCTTGAGCTCAGCCCCCTCCTTTATTTTCTTTAAAGCTTTATACCCAAATCAGCACTTTTGAAACAGGAAGTGAAATAGAGGGATATGAGGCATGGATAGAATGGGTGATCTGTTTGGCATTTTGAGCAAAACACATGTTTTTTATATATTTTTATATATCTGAGACCTATGCTATTGCCTAAAGATAGCATGATAGGTGCACTTTAACTTAATTTTCTGTTATTTCGCAGACTTTTATTTTTTATATAACCACATGGACCTAAGTTACTTTACCAGTGATTCAAATATATTTGTCATATTTTTAAAATAAAGCAACGTTCTCAGCCATATCTTTGTCAGCCTTTCATGTTAACACCTTAACCGAGCAGCCTTCCATCAATAATAAATCCTAATATTAGAAATAAGTTAGTCACAATACATCAGACTGGGGTTACATGAAAAAAAACACAATCCAACTTACATGTGGGGCGTTTTTGTAACATGAATCATGCTAAATCTGACCTTTTCCCGTTAAACTTCTTCATATCCTGTAATAAGCTCATGTTGAAATATATTAATACCCTCTGCACGTAGTAAGAAATGCAGCCAAACAGTGTCAACGTGTGGTGCACATTTCTCAGGAGGAATTCCCTGAATCCTGCATATTTTGAGGCAGAGCCGCTGGTGTTCAAAATGGGGGGAAAGTACCACGTGCCAGTAAACAGGGGGGTAACAGCTACTCATGCTAAGCACTACGGAAACAAAACCATCCATCTGGAGTTATTTTAATCTTCACCCCCCACACAGACACACAAAAATATTTCTGCGATGACTGCAGCTAAACTGCTCACAATTGTTTCCAAACCTCCTGCATCCTAATACTGGAAATGATGCAGTATTACAAAGAATACAAATGACAATGATACGGAAATTCTGAGCTAACTTTAGCATATTCTCCCTGAGGAGGAGAACATGTTTGATGTTTTAATGAATTTTTGAGAACAAGTGACTCATTCATTCATGGTATGTATTGTTAGTGTGATTCAGTCCGGTCTAGATAATGAGGAAACACTTCTCTGCATTTGTCCAGACATTGGTACATTCCAGCTTTTGTTGGATATTAGAAAGCAGTCCGCTCATCTCTCTCAAAGGGTCAATCTCCTCACCTCCAGCTTTCATTAAAATCGAGCCAGTATTGAGGTATTGAGGGGTGATGCCAAAACAGTGACATGATAACTTCTGCTGCTGAGTCCCGGAAGAAAAACTATTTTTAACAGCTAAACGTCTACACCTCCCTTAAAAATAAATAAGAGGAAGCATATCCCAGTGTCCCCTGCAACAACATTGATTTGTGGGTTTTAAAAATATGCATTTGGAAAGGCTTTAAATTAATATACGCTTTTAAAATCTTGATAGAATATAGTGAGGACTGTCGTGAATTAAACAAATATACTATGCTCTCATGTAGAACGTCATACATTTGACCACTTGACTCTGTGTTTATGCAGTTGAGATGTTTATCAAAGGTATAATATCTTAGCCCGAGCTGCATGTGTGGGTTATGTTAAAGTATATTAGGACTGGTGTTTGAAATGACCCCAACAGAGTATAAAAACAAATGACCAGGTCTTCAATCAAGAGTAATGAATAGAACTTTCACCCCCCTCTATCTTACCCAGATGTTGAGCCCTCAGGTTCCCGCTCTTGTTAGCTTCCTTGGAGACCAGTCCCTGACCGAGTGCCTGCTGGGAGCGCTGGTGGACGTGTCTCAGGCCAGCCCCTCCTCACTGGTCAGCTTCCTGCCAACGCTGAGGATTCTGGGTCAACAGTGCCCTGCTCTCCTGGGTCACGTAGCCAAAATCCATGGTGCCGTGGGAATCATCAGTGAGGTACAAACACACTCACTCAACACACACACACACCAAAAAGTTTGCATCTGTTTGCAGCAGTGATTTGCAGTTGGTACGAAAGTGTTTACTGTAGTGACTTGGAGACGAGGTGAAATAATTAATCCTAAAACCTGGAAATCAATTTGCATTTTACCACTTCCGGTTCTCAACGTTTTTTGGTTGTGAGCCTGAAATAAAGTCTGTGGTAAACACAAGCTGAAGAGATTTTAAAGTTTAGTTTTACGACACGATATACATCAGTAATGTCCACTGAATGTCCGAAGCTTCTATAGGTTGTTGAAACTGCGGTTGCTAACAAGTGGCAAAATAAACTAGTTTTACGGTGGTAAGGTGAAGTCATGTTATAATATGGGGAGATTATCCTGCTGAACCAAATGTGAAAGTATTATAAACATGTACTAGCCAAAGAGCTTATATACCAAAATCCAATAGAGAAATCCTATTGGTTTTGGCCAAGGGAGCTCTTTGCTTTGTAACACAAGAGCTTCTATTGGCTACCATTCCAACACATTGCACGTGATAGGCTAAGGTGACCGACATGGGCTCTGGTTTCAGACAGAGGGTGAAAAGAGGTGCTGCAGCACAGGCAGTATGAGAAAAATAAAGAGCTTTTTGAACATTAAAGCATGGAGACATGTCACAGTAGAGACACAACATACAAGTATGAACCTGAAAATGAACAGTCCTCCTTAACTGTTCCAGTCTTGTCGCTGCAACAGAGACAGGCTCCGAAATACTTACTTTTTGAATGAATGCTTTTTTTGCTCTTTATGTTTGCCTAGCGGTAAGTATTCACACACTCTGAAACAGGCAGGAGTGATTATTGCAACGAGGAGGGAGGAACAGGCTGCACGCTCACATGACTTGTTCTCTGTTGTCCTGCCAAGTGTAAAACACACACTGACCCACCAGACAGGCCGGGCACATCCGGATATTTGATCTGCAGACTGATATCTGCATCAGAAGCGTCTGTCCTAAACAAACACTCCTCAAGACATTTCTGTCTCTCTGTAGCTGAATAGAGAAGAAGAAACATAACTAGCTGCTGGTCTGGTGGGGAGAGAAACATCTACATTTAAGGAATAGTTCAAGAGTAACTGTTAGAGCCTTATTGTGCAATCATGACACACTTTAACGGAACATAAAAAGCAAGAAAGATACTTTTATTAGTGATCATTACAAGAAGGGACAACCTTAACTGCACTCCTCTGCCTCGACTGTGGCCTGGATCGGTCCCATGAGCCTCATGTTGGCCAACACCGTGAGTTTAACACTTGGCTGCCCTGCAGTGTTGGCTTTTCATTTGCCCTTAATGTCACTCCTTTTGACGTAGAAAGTGCTGTTTTTTCAGCCGTTAACTGGCTGTAATTGGCTGTTGTCAAAAGCTGCTAATTACAGATTAATTAGTCGGAGCGAAATGTGAGGTAGGATCGCTGCAGAGTGATGGATGCATTTTGTGATGGATACAAAATAAAGTTTGTTTCCACAGCTGGTTCTTAATTTACCGCACGTCTTCCTGCGGATTGATATGAATGAGCATAGTCCCTTGATCCTCCTTAGCAACGGTATGTTCTCCTTAGCAACGGTCTATGAGTGAGAATTAACAACGTCTGAAATGTCCAAATTGACCAATAAGAATCGACTATTCAACTAACTCATGTTATAAATAAGTGTATAGTACATGAGATAGTTGTATCATCTTCTGTTGCGCAGACGTATTAAGCAACACCTAACTGTCCACTTGTGTAACAGGTCTCACAAAGTCACACACTACAGTCACTCAGTCAGTAGGACAGAGTGAAGGGCCCCCACTTCTCTTGTCCTCGGAGTCCAGTTTAAAGATGTTAGGATCTGTCTGTGTTGGTGTTTTTCTTGTCTTTTTCTATCTTTGGGTTTCCTGTTTTATTTTGTAAAGTGTTCACCCCCGTTTCCTGCTTGTTTGCTTTCTGTCTGTTCCCTCCCTGATTACCCGATTGTGTTCACCTGGTACCTCTGTGTTTTCTCCTCCCTCCTCACCTGTCTCGTGTTTATGTGATTAGTCCTGGGTGTATTTAAGTTCTGGGTTTTCTGTCTCTCTTTGTCGGGTTGTCTTGTGTTGTGAGTAAACTGCGGTGAGTGTTCGGTTCTGTCTCTGAAATATTGTAGCCTTGAAATAAAGGAATTATTTTGTCACTTAAATCTGCATTTGGGTCCTGCTTCCTGCACACCGTAACATTACAACCCGACCAAGATATGGGCCCAGCAGATCCTTTTGAGCAGGAGCTATTGGAGTTTTCCTTTGCTCTGGATGACTGCTCGTATCGATGGTTGGGAGCATCCAGGGTTCAGCAGCGAGAGGCTGTTCTGGCAGAGGCACGCCGGATTACTATGGAGAAGCCAGGCTTGGTTAAATTCTTATCGGGCAGGATTTTGGATTTTCTCACGGTGTGTTATCCCCTGCCTGACAGCCTCAGGCCTCCCAACTCCCGTTTTGATACCACACGCATCGGTGTGGTCCGTCTGGCGTCAGCCCCTGCTTCTCACCCAGTGTTTGCTACAGTCCAGGAGCCATTCGCTGGTACTCGTCTGGCCTTTGGAGGTCCACGGAGCCTCCAAACGGCTCCTAAAGGAAGGAGTCGCAAGGCCAGGTTGGCAGAACGAGCCCAAAGGGCCATGGTTCCAGAACCAGTTCTGGCCCCAGCAGCCATGGTCCTTGCTCCAGAACCGGTCCCGGCAGCCATGTTTCCGGCTCCTGAACCGGACCTTACAGCCATGTTTCCGGCTCCAGAACCGGACCTTACAGCCATGTTTCCGGCTCCAGAACCAGACCTTACAGCCATGATTCTGGCTTCAATTCCGGCCCCCGCAGCCATGGTTCCAGACCCAGCTCTGGCCCCAGCTCTGGCCCCAGCTCTGGCCCCAGCTGCCACAGTCCCATCTCAAGTTTCCTCTCGAGTCCCCTCTCCAGTTTCTTCTCAAGTCCCCTCTCCAGTTCCCTCTCAAGTTCCTTCTCGAGTCCCCTCTCCAGTTTCCTCTCAAGTCCCCTCTCCAGTTTCCTCTCAAGTTCCTTCTCGAGTCCCCTCTCGAGTCACCTCTCGAGTTCCATCTCTAGTCTCTTCTCGAGTCACCTCTCGAGTTCCATCTCTAGTCCCTTCTCGAGTCCCTCCTCTAGTCACTTCTCTAGTCCCCTCTCTGGTCCCTTCCCGAGTCCCTCCTCTAGTCCCATCTCTAGTCCCTCCTCTAGTCAATTCCCTAGTCCCATCTTTAGTCCCCTCTCCAGTCCCCTCTCCAGTCCCCTCTCGAGTCCCCTCTCGAGTTCCCTTCTCTAGTCCTTTCCCTAGTCCCTCCTCAGGTCACTTCTCTAGTCCCATCTCCAGTTCCCTCTCCAGTTCCCTCTCCAGTTCCCTCCTCTAGTCCCTCCTCTAGTCCCTCTTCGAGTCCCCTCTCTAGTTCCCCTCTCGAGTTCCCTTCTCTAGTTCCTCCTCTAGTCCCTCCTCTTGTCTCTCCTCTAGTTCCCCTCTCGAGTCCCCTCTCGAGTCTCCTCTCGAGTCCCCTCTCGAGTCACGTCTCAAGTCCCTACCCAATGTCCTGGTCCGTTGGAGGTTCCGCTGGGGGTCCTGCCAACTCCATGTCTTGTCCCGTTGGAGGTCCCGTCGACTACTCCTCTGCCGGGGGTCCTACCAATCGTATGTCTGTCCCGTTGGAGGTCCCGCCGTCTACTCTCCTGCCGGGAGTCCTGCCAACCCTTTGTCCTGTCCCGTTGGAGGGCCCGCCGTCTACTCTCCTGCCGGGGGTCCTGCCAACCCGTTGTCCTGTCCCCTTGGAGGTCCCGCCGTCTACTCTCCTGCCGGGGGTCCTGCCAACCCTTTGTCCTGTCCCGTTGGAGGCCCCGCCGACTACTCTCCTGCCGGGGGTCCTGCCAACCCTTTGTCCTGTCCCGTTGGAGGCCCCGCCGACTACTCTCCTGCCGGGGGTCCTGCCAACCCTTTGTCCTGTCCCGTTGGAGGCCCCGCCGACTACTCTCCTGCCGGGGGTCCTGCCAACCCTTTGTCCTGTCCCGTTGGAGGTTCTGCCGTCTACTCTCCTGCCGGGGGTCCTGCCAACCCTTTGTCCTGTCCCGTTGGAGGTCCCGCCGTCTACTCTCCTGCCGGGGGTCCTGCCAACCCTTTGTCCTTTCTCGTTGGAGGCCCCGTCGATTACTCTCCTGCCGGGGGTCCTGCCAACCCCATGTCCTGTGCCGTTGGAGGTCCCGCAGACTGCTCTTCTGCTGGGGGTCCTGCCAACTCCATGCCTTGTCCCGTTGGAGGTCTCGCAGACTGCTCTTCTGCCGGGGGTCCTGCCAACCCCATGTCCTGTCCCGTTGGGGGTCCCGCCGACTGCCCTCCTGCCGGGGGTCCTGCCAACCCTATGTCCTGTCCCGTTGGGGGTCCCGCCGACTGCCCTCCTGCCGGGGGTCCTGCCAACCCTATGTCCTGTCCCGTTGGGGGTCCCGCCGACTGCGCTTCTGCCAGGGGTCCTGCCAATCCTGTGTCCTGTCCTGTTGGAGGTCCCGCCGACTGCGCTCCTGCCGGGGGTCCTGCCAATCCTGTGTCCTGTCCCGTTGGGGGTCCCGCCGACTGTCCTTCTCCCGAGGGTTCTGCCAACTCCTGGTTCTCTTCCGTGGGGAATCTTGCCGACACCTGTCCCCACCAGCTCCGGATCCTGTCCGGTCGACACCGGCTCCTGCCCGGTCGACACCGGCTCCTGCCCGGCCTCCGGAGCTGTCCGGTCTTCGCCCTCGAGCCCGGCTCCCTGAGAGCCGCGGTCTTCGTCCTCGAGCCCGGCCCCCTGAGTGCCGCGGTCATCGCCCTCGGGCCCGGTCCACTGACTCTTCCTGCCGTTGCCTTCGCCCTCGGGCCCCGCCCCCAGACTCTTCCTGCCGCTGCCTTCGCCCCTCCATGGTCCCCACCTTGGACTCTGTCTTACCCCGGGCCGTCCGCCCGAGTCCCCCTTTTTGGACT